GTGCGTTGCACATCCATTCAGATGAACTGAAAAACAGCACAGATCGCTTGACGGAGAGTGAAACTGAAGCGCTCAGTCAGAGTGTTCTGTGAGTGAAAATATATCTGTGCTAATCATATACTCAGCCTCCAACTCACACACTGGCGAGTAAAATCTGAGAATTTATTAGGCATTGGCTAATATTAGACATCATTTAGTCGCCCAGAGTGAAGATTTAGTCGCATATGCGAGTGATTTACTCGCAATGTAGAGGGTTGTAGTGCCTGCCTATCTAAAGAAACATCAGAGGAAAAAGATACTGCCGATTAAATCATTTAGCACACACGGAATTTGCACATCTAACTTTCCCTTCCTTTTTTTCTTTTGTCTCGTCTCCATGTATTTCTAACAGGGGAGCCTTGATAACATCAGCATCATTCTCGTTTGTTTTCCTGGCGCCCCCCAGCTGTCACCTGAAGCACTGCACCAGGAGGCTGAGCTGGAGGACTTTCTGGAGTCTAAAGTAGCTGGTAAACCATCTGATTAAATTTAGCTTCTTTTGATGTTGCTCTTTAGATTTACATGGCTTGCGTCAAAGATTGCAATCCTTTCCAATCATGGAGTCAAATAATGGTTAAAGTAAATGGTCCTCTAGCGGCCTGCTTAAGGAATTAAATCATTGTCACGCATGTTTCTTTGACAGAGATATTTGAGGAGCTGAGCGGAAGAGGTGATGAGCCTGATCTGCTGTCAGTTCTGACAGTACTGGCTTCCACAGTGATTCCTGGACTACCACCAGGGGGTGGCCTTCAGAGCAAGTGAGTGCATGTTGAATATCATGCTTTACTTCTGCTCAAAATAGCAGTCAGCAATTATCCAAGAGAGGTGTGAAAACCTATTTCACAGAATGTGACATGAACATTTTTAGGCACAGCTGTTGCATTAAATAGATAAATCACAGTTCCAGTGCTTTAAAGCGGTTTATACCGATATTAAATTTGATTAGCATTTTTATTCATCTTTCTGCCATTTTTATGTTATTATTGTTGTTGATGTTGTTGTTGTTGTTAAAAGGCATTTTTTATAATTGATATTGAATCATTATTTATATTTATTTAATAATTTAAGCATTTATAATATTAATAATACTTTTATTATTAATAGTAATAACAATAAAAGTGATAGATCAAGTAAATGGAAACAACAATATTTTAAATAACATTTCTGTGACTGGCTTTATGGACCAACAATGTATAAATTCATATAATCTTTTGAAATATTTAAATGCATCATTATTAATAGAATAATAGAGTCGTTTTTTGCTTTTTTTTATCAATATTGAGTTAATATATTCTTCCAAAATGCTTAATTGCTGTTAAAAAAAAAAGTGTATTGCACTTCATCAAATGGTACTCATGTGCTATAGCAACAGATTAGAAAATCATCCAAATATTAGATTATAGTTGAAAGGATGACATATCCACTCTCGTGCTGCTGAGAAATGTCCAGGTACACTAGGTAAATGTAGACAGCAGCTTTTCTCAGATTCAAGTGTCTGCTTAGTACAGGCACTTTCTCTAAAGCACCAATCAGCTCCACAAGTTGCTCTAATGATATGTTGTTGTAATGACTGCCAAAAGAACAGAGGACTGAACTTTGAAATATCATATTTTCTTGACATTTGCAGGCGGAACTGTATAATTTCAGCCTACTATCAGCAGAAAGAGGCACGGCGATCTAGATTAGCCCAGGTAAGCTTCTGTACAGAACTATCCATTTACTTTTTTGTATGTTTCACGAATGACAAAACTTACAAAAAGCAATGCTGTGCCACAATGCAGGACAATAATGACTGTATATAACTTTGACTCTTTAGATTGTGATACGTTCAGTATTTTCCTTACCAAATGTATTCAATGAGTCTTACAATCGACAATACTCAGGTAATGTGTTCAAGCAGTGACAGCAAACTTTTGAGATTCTCTTCAGTCTTGGCATATAACAAGTTCATTATTTAAATTGATACAATAAAAAAAGGCAGAACTTGACAGAACTCTTTGAGGAACAGTGACAAGCTAATGCTGTTGTATTAAAGGAATAGTTCACCCAAAAATGATTTACTTGTCTTTACTGCTTAGTTCTTTTAGAAGCATGGTCACAATGTTTAGAAAAAAAAAATCTTGTGTGTGTGTGTGTTTGATAAAAGGATCAAAACAACAGCATACAGTTTTGGAAAAACATGATGTTAAGTAACTAATGACAGGATTTTCATTTTTGTGTCAACTATTCCTTTAAGAATTAAGGTCAAATTTGAAATGCTAAAATCTCTAAAGAGCAAATTCTATTAAATACAAGCACTTTTACATGTTGGTTTATACAGGCTCATAATATGGTCACAGAGTGCAACTTTTCCTGTTCTTGAATAGTTGTTTCCTGTAATACGCTCTACTCTGTTTGCATGATCTGTACTGTGTTGCCTTACTGACCTCTTTGAAATTATGCCAATCTATAAGTGTGTAATATTACCGAGATATTTCCTAATGACTAGCAAATGAACTGATGCAGTGCTATATCATGTCGTGTAATCATCTTTGTGCACATTTGACAGATCTTGTGCAATATTTGTGCCAACATAAAGGTTAAAGGTTTAGTAATAAAAATAAACAGATCAAGCTATTCATGAGATTTCAGTTTATTAATGTCTGTCCTGCTACATAAAGAGACTTTATGGCCTATAGGTAATTATAGTCATACATTTTGTGAGTGTGTTTGAGCTCATATTTCAACACCATCAGTAAGCAGTACCACTGTCATCCTCAAGAGAACAGTAGAGACTCGCTCCTCATTTAACACCATCTTCAATTTGCAAACCCTGTATTAATGTCACACTCAGAAACATATTTAAAAAACTCAATGAATGACGACGGGCTGCTGTTACACAGATATAAAGGACGTGAGTATAGCTATTACATCTGAAACACATAAATGTTGATACCAAAATAAATATTTAACAAAGAAGTTATATTTGTGTTTACAATATACAATATCTACAGAATCTATTACACATGACTTGGTTTGTCTCTTAAAGGACTGATGATACTATCACATTACAAGTCTATTTGCACGTATTTGTATTCATTTTAGATCATTTGTTTCTTAGGACAATCAACACTGACGGCAGCTTGATAAAAACGATTAAACAATGAATATTACTGACCATCTCCCTTTGATTTGACACTTGTATGTCTTCCTCCGGGACTGTCTCTCTGTAAGTGCCGTGGCTACATCTGCCTGACTCTTTAAAATCAGTCTGTTTTCGTGAAGAGCCGTTAAAGGATCTCTCCAGAGGCACAGTGTGATTGCTCAACCACACCGGCCAATCACTTCAGCATCAAAGTGACTCTGAGAAGCGATGTTACCATTGTTACCACATGGTCAGTTTATAATGATGTTAAAAATAAAAATAAAAAAAAGCCGTCTCCTCTTTAGAACGCAGCCATTCATAAATGCTAACATTCACCGTCCTTGTGATCTACAGAGGTAAATTGGCTATTTTAATTTGATCTAATTTGCTCTGTACTGTGTATTACAATAGTGAATGTACAGTTTACATCTTTAATTGCGTGCAATAAATGCTAAAACCTCTGCTAACTTACTTTAGTACTGAATCATGGTTGGGAAAAATTCAGAACTGAAGAACAGGTTGTTGTTTAGTCAGTGAGTGTGAATTTTAATTGAACTATCCAAACAGTTGAATAGGACTTTGGTTTGGAATGACAAAGAGAGGAATTTACTGTACTTGATTGTCAGTACAGCGAACTAATTTTGGGAAATTAAGTGTTTGTACAACCTTGACCTCAGAAGTGGATTTACTAAATATAATGAAATATTTAAATTAAATACTATTTAGTTTACAAATTCTATGTGGCATTTCAAACATATGTCTATTTATCTGACCATAAGACCTATAAAACTTCAAACTTCTGACCATAAGACCTACAGTGGTGTGAAAAAGTGTTGGCCCCCTTCCTGATTTCATATTTAAATTTGTTTGATGATCTGAAACATTAAAGTGTGACAAACATGCAAAAAAATAAGAAATCAGGAAGGGGGCCAACACTTTTTCACACCACTGTATAAAACTTCAAACTCCTCCCCAGCCCCCCACACACACACAACTTTAAACTAAGGCTTTGTCAAGCCAACATTCAAAGTTTGTCTTAAAGGGATAGTTCAACCAAAAAAATACATATTCTGTCATTGTTTATTCACCTTCATGTCATTTCAAACCCATAAGACTTTCCTTCATCTTTGAAACACAAATGAAAATATTTTTATTGAAACCTTAGAGATTTCGGTCCCTTCATTAAAAGTCAGTGTCACCAAAAATATAAAAAATTAAATTAAATAAAACATTGTAAACACTATCCATGTGAATTGAGTGGTTTAATCTAAGTCTTCTGAAGTGATATGATCGATTTATTTGATGAGCAGTTTTAATTTAGGCTGCTATTCCCACATGATTATTATTAATTAAAAAAGATCTTTATTTGTGTTTTGAAAATGAATCGATGTCTGACTGATAACCGAATTTTCATTTTGAAGTAAATCTCATTAACAAATTAAAACTTTGCTTATCTAGTTAAAAATTTGTTGTATACATTTCTTTGAATTTCAATTCATTTAAATATACTTCCCTACATTCAAATTCAAATTCTGCATCCTGTTTGCTACTGCAACTTAAATGCAGTTCAAATTCAGGAATTTTGAAGCCATTCTCAATTCAGTTCTGAATAAAACATAACCCTCACTAAAGTCATCTTTTGATAATGTGCAATATCCAATGCCATCTTTGTATAATCAAGCTACCTGTCGACACTTGTCTCCTGAAGGCGGTTATTCATGATAGCAAAGGCGCCCACACCACCGGAGAAGCCATTCTGGCGAACGTGGCTCTGTCTTGGATTACCGTGAGCGGTCTCTGAGAGTTGCTTCTGTAGAATGGCCAGAGAAACCTTGTTGGCCATAAAGTCATTGACTGAGATCATTTCTCCAGACAGTCTGCGCCCTGTCAGATAACCTCCATCTGGTCCTAAGCCAGCATCAGTCTCACTATCACAAACTGTTTCCACTGATGCATTAGTGAAGCGCTTTCCTGGTGCTTCGTTAGCCGGGGCAGGGTGCACGGCGTTGCGCTTTTGAGCCCTCTGCCGGGAATGTCCCGGCGGAGGGTGGTGGTTGTGCCGCTGGTTGGGAATTCGTGGAAAGCAGCAGCAACAACAGGCCTGACCTCGTCTTCTGTATGGACGGCCACGGCACGGACACTGAGCCTTGCTGCAGTCCAGTTTGCCGAGGATCCAGTTGAGCGTCTGCTTGATAATGATGGAAATGACATTGAACAGGGAGTAAATGCAACACACACCCATGAGGATGAAGAGGCAGTTGCCGAGACGGTAGGCTTCTTGAGCTTTATAGCTCTCCCGTTGGCTGCTCACCACATCCCCGAAGCCAATGGTGCTGAAGGCCACAAAGCAGAAGTACAAGGACTCAAAGTAGTCCCAGTCCTCCATGGCAGAGTACAACGCAGACGCACTGCATGCGATCAGCAGGGCGGCGATGCCCAGAATGAGCATTACGTAGTAGACCGATGGTTTCCAGCCCTCCAGACTGTCGTCCTCGCTCCTGGCCTCCTCTCCTCCCACGCCGGAGCGGCGCAGTTGGCGCTCGTGACACCAGCGCATGATGTAGGCCAACATCGTGATGATGCGCTCCAGGAAAAGGTTGAAGAAGAGGATTGTTGCTGCGCAGCCAAGGAGTCCGTAGAATATCAAAAAGATCTTACCTGCAACGGTGACAGGAGTGGTCATGCCAAAGCCTGGAAGGAAATAGGAAACAGGTTCTGTTTTGCTGATGTATTTTTAATGAATTCATTCCTATTAAAAAACATCATGTCACTCCAAACTGCTATGGTTTTATGTCTTCTGTGGAACACAAAGATTTTTTTTCACAAAATGAAGCTTACAAACTGCCAAAAAACATAATTTATATCAAATTTATGCTATTGGACATTCAATATAAGTACTATAAGTACTTGTCACAAGAACAGCAATAGAAAATAACGTTTGGCAACAAATTTGGCCGGAAGCATCTTCAGGTGGGGCAAGTTGGAAATAAATATCGAAAATAAAAGTTATGGCAGAGGGGAATTTTATGCAAGTAAAGCTAATTTACTTTTGCATTGCTTCTTTACTTTTGTTTAAGGTAAAGGAGCAGCTTGGATGTTTTGTAAGAAAACTTTTTTTTTTTTGCCATAGATGTGTGTGTGTGTGTGTGTGTGTGTGTGTGTGTGTGTATGTGTCTTTTTGTTATACTTTGGCCAGTGTTTAGTATCATTGATATACTGTTATAGTTTTTTATGTGTTAATTTTTCCTTTATATTATAGTTCCATCAACTTTGTTAATTTATTTAATACATTTTTCGGTATCTTTTTAATAAAATAAAACATATATTAAAAATAATGTCATCATTTACTGTACTTGCCCTCACGTGGCTCTGAAACGGTTGTTTTTATTAAGTTTTAGTTTGTTTCGTTTTTAGTTATTTTAGTACTTCAACTTTAAATGAAAATGAGAAATGTTGTTTTGGCAAATAGTTGAATAAAAAAGTTTTCATGTTTTTATATTTTATTTTATTTATTATTTTAAAGAAATTTTTTATTGTTTTAGCTTTAGTGATCAATAATAACACTGAAGCTGCATGAAGCTCAAACAGTAGAGCATTGTACTAACAATGCCATGGTCATGGGTTCGATTCCCAGGGAATGTATAAACTAATAGAAGAAATATACATCATTTGAATACAATGTAAGTCACTTTAGATAAAAGTGTCTATGTAAACTATGATTTCTGTAAATTCTCTTTTTGGCAAATTTATTTGCAGTTATGAAAATCTAAATGCATAGATGACGTTGTATGAACTCACCAATTGTGGAGACCACTGTAGCAACAAAGTAGAAGGCCCCTGAGAAATCCCAGCGGGGCCTAAGTTTGTCCACACGGATCCCAGCCGCAAAGGCCTCCTCATATTGCTTTAGCAGGACATGTAGGGATTTCAGGTTTATACTGTTTTGCTCGGTGAAGTTGGCCAGCTGTTGGTCCCAGTGCCGGTGAGCCTGCAGCTCAGAGGGATGCTCGAGTGCAGAGAACACCACCGCCCCACACAGCAGGTAGAGGAGGATGAGGGCCGCCAACAAGCCAAAACGGGCATTGTCTTCATTCAGGTGAAGTGGGAGGCAACAGCTGCTGCTGACATCTCTTCTACGTGGCATGACTTGATCACTAGCAGGAAATGACATGAACAGGCAAACATGCACAGCCACTAACACAGACACAAGAAACAAACACTCTCACTCACAATCAAAACACAACCATAGACTCGGGCTTTAGAAGACATATAGAGTCACATGAAAACTCTATGTTGCTCTTGTTTTCAGATACAGTTGAAAAATTAAAGACAAAGTTCTTCATGTCCATTAACATTCTTCTGGACTCATAACCGCATCACTTTCTCCAATGGCACCATCGTAAAAAGCAAGGTTATCAGGTAAAATGACACATGGTCCAGGAAATAAGACCTCCAGATACAGGTTAGCAGGTAACAGTAGGCAGGCAAGTGCAAGATTGTTATCTTTTCCCATCTTGCTGTCCAAGTATAGCTGGTGTCGCACCAGTCAGTAATAATGCTGTGGTCTTTATGTGAAATCATCCTTGAGCTGGCTCAAAACAAAACAAACAACATATATTGCTACTTTAGTCAAAAGGATTATAAAGAAATTGATTTAAGCTGCAAGTGCAGTACATTAGTATCATAAAAGATCACTAGATCTTGATTATTTAAAAAAAAAATTAAGTTAGCAAGCACACAGTACTACAAAATAGAACATTGTTTTATTATACACATATTCTACATTTTTTATTCTGTTTTTAACAGCACTATTGTCAGTCACTTTTCAGTCAGTCACTATAAATGTCAGTCACTTTTCCCTAATTTAGGTGATAATGAACGATTTGTTAATCACAAACAAACTTTTAGAGTGGTGAAACTGAAGGTTACCTACCTGATTTAGTATTTAATATTTGATGAAGAGCACCGTTGATGTCATCATAGTCCTCCAAACCATTTTGCTATGTTAATGGAGCGAGTTAAAAGAATCAAAAGTGGCCGTTTATTCCTGGCAAGTGTGAATCCTTGGCAGTGCGTGATTGAATGATGCAGCTGGGGAGGAGAGAGAGAGAGAGAGAGAGGGAGAGAGAGAGAGAGAGAGAGAGAGAGAGAGAGAGAGAGAGAGTTGTGTTGGGTATTTTTATACATTGCACTGATTCAAATCCTTCGAATCCTAAAACGATTCTTTCACTGATTCATTCGGTGTTGTGAGTTATGAATCACAAAATCATTCACTTAACCGATTATTAACGTCTTCTCTTTTACCTACTAAACGGGAGAAGGAACTAATAGTCTACTATTTTAGGAATATTTATTTGGGCTACTATTGTCTTTTTTTGTGAAAAAAAAAATGTATTGAAAATTATAGAAAACGCTTACATGCCTTCTTCTAGATCCACTCCTGTCCTGCTAAAGTCAGCCGATGAAAGCAGTGAAAAATTAGTTCACTTAATGAGTTCACTTTTTAAGAGATTCACTTAAAGAAACGCCAATTCATTTATAAACGAAACACTAGATTGCAATTTTTTGCAAATAAAAGGCGCATACAAGATCCAAACGCGCTTGGTGCCTATAGGCTGTCTAGGTAGGCTCACTAGGTTTTGAAACGCACTCAGAGTGACAGTATTGACTGCCATTTACCAAGATTTCAGGCTTGAAGCCCTGAACCTTATAATCTTCAGAGGGGCGACATAGACATCGGAAGGCGGACTCCATTTACATTTATTTTCAACAGTTGCTGATATAAAAAAGTTAATTGTACATCTTCGCCATTAAAATTTACATTTCTCAAAAAAAAAATTATTACATTTTTAACTTTGCATTTTAACTGTTATTTACGGAAGTTCTAAGCGGCCATGCAATATATTTTTTTCCTTCTTGTTTTCTCGTTATAACGACTTAATTTTCTCGTTATCTCGACATAACAAAAGTTGTTCTCCAAGTTACAAAACTGCGCCAACAGGTGGCACTATTGACCTGAATATAACTGATGGGGTGTTGTAGGCTATATCCACTTTACTGTACGCGTTTGGGATAGAATAGGACCTTCCTCGTGATCGCTATAATTTGTGCAGTATTGTTCATTACTGACATTTAATTCATTCATAAATGTAAAATGCTTGAATCAATATGACTATTTTGTGTATTAAGTTCTTGCTAGATGCATGAGTTTCACCAACGGGTTCTGTGTCATAACATAAAACCAAGGTTGACGTCATTGTGTTCTGTTTGCACCTATATCTTTATTTGTGCTTCTTTGAGGTACATGATTGTTAGTTAATAAGCGGGGATGTTCTGTTTATCTACAGTAGGACAGGCTTCAACGACGTAGGCTATTTGTAATGTGCCTCTTTTCCTTATTATTAATCTTTATCGTTAATCATTAAATGTATATTGATAAGAAATGTGATTTATATATAAAGTGTATAGGCTAATTTAATTCAGTGATGTTCTACAGTGTTGTAATCTTTTGTGTTTTCTACATTTCTTTGTGGAAACCACACATACACACATATACACATGCCTACACATGAACGCTCTTTTCAAACAGAGGAAGATTTGAGATGGGTCTGTAATTTGCCAGTTCACTAGGATCTAGTTGTGGTTTCTTAATAAGAGGCTTAATAAGGCAATGTTATTGCCTTTAAAAAAACAGCCATTTTTACTACAATACATTTTATGCCATAAAAAGAGAAAACATCAGTGGCCTATTGGCATTTTCATGCAAATTACAGTGACCATGGTAATTTCTTATGGGCTGTCATGATAAATACCTAAACACTCACAAATCACCCCCTACCCCATTACAATCATCTCTCTCTGAAAATGCAACTTCAAGGACATTCAACAAGTACAATTTAAAAGCTTTAAACAACTGACAGACCATCATTTGCCTGTTGCTTCACTGACATTAAAATATTGCTTCGTTTGATGTTGACAGACAAAAATATAGCCATGGTACTCTCTTTCAATTGTGAGATGCGCTTAGATGGCTGAGACGATATTGCTTTGTTCTCTCTGACCAGCCCACCCTTGCCTTTCATCTTGGTTGCCAGCTCACAAGACTGTATTCCCCCATCATTAGAGTACTGGTCATTGCTTGTAAGTGCCCAGGTGCAGTGGAGACAGACAAGTGCTATATCAAAAGAGTGTGTGGTATTTTATTCATAAACTTTGTCCTCATCAGAAGACAAGTGTTTTGGCAACTGCCGCCGTGAAACCGAAAAGACTGCAAAAGCCATGTCTTGCGTTTCTATTATTCCAAACACGGCAGCGCTAATCATGGGTTTGGGCTCTGAGTGCTACACTGTCTTTAAAGTCATCAAGAGATCTGAGAAGTGTGATCTGCATAATGTAATTCATCACAGGTGCTGGGTGATGAATATAGTGATCGCCCAAAAGCTCATTATGGAGTCTGTCTCTTTCCTCTTATTTTTCCTCTCTTTTCTCTTCATCCACCTGACCATTCTCTTTGTCTTTCTTTGTTGTCGATGTGTTAAAATCAGTGCTCTCCAAACTGGCCTGCTGTAAATGAATGAGTCGTTGTTCAACATTATATACAGTGGGTACGGAAAGTATTCAGCAGAGTGCTCAGGACCTCAGACTGGGCCGAAGGTTTACCTTCCAACAAGACAATGACCCTAAGCACACAGCTAAAATAACGAAGGAGTGGCTTAACAACTCTGTGACTGTTCTTGAATGGCCCAGCCAGAGCCCTGACTTAAACCCAATTGAGCATCTCTGGAGAGACCTAAAAATGGCTGTCCACCAACGTTTACCGTCCAACCTGACAGAACTGGAGAGGATCTGCAAGGAGGAATGGCAGAGGATCCCCAAATCCAGGTGTGAAAAACTTGTTGCATCTTTCCCAAAAAGACTCATGGCTGTATTAGATCAAAAGGGTGCTTCTACTAAATACTGAGCAAAGGGTCTGAATACTTAGGACCATGTGATATTTCAGTTTTTCTTTTTTAATAAATCTGCAAAAATGTCAACAATTCTGTGTTTTTCTGTCAATATGGGGTGCTGTGTGTACATTAATGAGGAAAACAAATTAACTTAAATGATTTTAGCAAATGGCTGCAATATAACAAAGAGTGAAAAATTGAAGGGGGTCTGAATACTTTCCGTACCCACTGTATGTATAATGCACTTTAATGACACAAGACATGATTGGATATGAGAACCTTTATTTCAGGTTTGATATATAAGATTAAAATCTTACAGTTTAAACATAAAACTCCATTTTTTTGTGGTAAATCTGTATAATCTAATTATAGGTGAAATCATGTTAAAAAAACAATCAGTACAATTCAGCAATACTATATATCATGAAAAACAATAAAGGCTGACATGTTGTCCACAAAAATAATTATACAAGATTATGAAAAAAATGAGCATATTCAGTACATTACGGTTTAGATCAAGTTAGATACATTTGTCAAAATACAAAAAGAGAGAGGCAGACAGAAAACAGGAGGAGAGATATTTTGGTCAGTGCTGCAGTGACGTGTTCAGTGGCCAGTATCTAGTGCTTGAACCCTAGAGGCAAACAGCAGCACCTTCTTCTCAACCTCGGCATTGAGCTCTCGCTGGGAAGCCCTGGGATTCTTCTTCACATAGTCAGCTATGCTCTGGATACATTCCCTCTGTGGAAGTAGAGCATCACATGTCACAAACGTTTGTCTGGGTCTACAGTCAGTGTTTTCTGCAATACATTCTGTAACTTGAATTAAAATTGATGTTAGGGTTTAATGGATTAGATTGGTTTGATTGTGATGTAGCATTCAAAAGACAATATACAATTCAGTACAGTATAAAACAACACAATATACACTATTTACACTACAACTGTGAAGTACATAGAGATGAAATCATTAAAAAGTGAATGTTTAAATGTACTGTAACCCAGACTTACTGTTCAAAAGTCTGGGGTTGGTAAGATATTTGAAAGAGGTTTTTTTTCCAAGAATTTTAATTCGCACCAAGGCTGTATTTATTGGATCAAAAATATAGTAAAATAGTGATATTGTGAAATATTACTAAAATTGTAAATAATTTTTGTTAATATATTTTAAAATGTAATTTATTCCTGTGATGGCAAAGCTAAATTTAGCAGCCATTACTCCAATCTTC